ACTAAGCAAAATGTTCAGGGACTCACCACACAGAAAACACAGTGTTGCTGGTGTCGCTGGCCGTAGCTACGGCAACCAGGCTTGGCCATTGAAAGCAAGAGGTTGAGACCTAGGAAATGGATGGGACTCAGACAACAAACAGGATCACAGCTGTGCTCTCCAACCCCCCACCAGGAAAAGGCTAACCATTTGCTGTCACATAGCTTCCGCTGCTGATTTTCTAAAGTTCCTCAAGGATTTGAATTCAAATCTTAGGATAGAACGTCTCCTCCCTGTGTGTGAATATCCCCACACAGTGACAGGGAAGCCCTGATCTGAAGCTTTCAGAAGGGAGGCAGAATTCATGTTTTGGAAAGGGTGTTTATGAATGTAAGGGTGAAAAGTGAGCACCAGAAATGGCAAATAAGTACCCCCCAAGGACCACCTCTGCACTCCTGGGCAAGGAGGAATAAAAAGTGGAACCCAGGAACAATGACTGGAGGGTTAAATGCGTGTATGTAGGTATGGAAGCCAGAAAACAATCTGTTGTTCCTTAGATGGTACCTGCCTTGTGTTCTGAGACCAGGTCTCTCATTGGCTGAGAACTTGCCTGGTAGGCTAGGCTGTCTCATCAGTGAGCTTGAGGATCCAACTGTCTCCACCTTCCAGCGCTGGAATTATAAGCAAGTGCTACCACATCTGGCTTTTTTTTTTTTTTTAATGTGGGATCCTGGGTGGTGGTAAGTCAGTTCCTTATGCTTGTACTATAAGCAATTGAGCTATCACTCCCATAAAAGGTCTCTCAGCAAATCTGATTGCCCTCATCTCACACGCTCCTCATTTATTTTTCAATAACTATGGAATTGTCTCCACTCTGTTATGCAGGTGACTCCTATGAGCCCATCTCTCACTCCCAATTCCAAATTCACGAAACAGATAATCTTCTGGGGTGCTTTCAGAGAAAGGAGGGTTTTTTTTTTAGAGAAAAAACATTAAGTATATCCTATACTTAAACAGGACATTCTTAAATGAAATAGAATATATTTCGGCTGAGTAGAACATTTGAATAATGCCTGCTGTATAAATAAAGTAAAGGAGTCGAGGATGTTTAACATTTCTTTTCAAGTTGCTTTAGTCGTGGTGTGATGTTGAATAGCCCCCATAGGGCCATGTATTTGAATGATTGGTTTTCCAGTTGGTGGCACTGTTTGGACATAATTAGGAGGTGTGGCCTTGTTGAGCTGTGTCATTGGGGGTAGGCTTTGTTGTTTCAAATTCCCACAACATTCCCAGTGAGTTCTCTGTTGTGGATTATTAATATTTATCAATGATTTATCTTTCAGTTAAACAGTGCTTATTCCTAAACCAGCTGTATATCAAAATCACCACACAGAGACTTGGATTTATTTAATTAACCTAGAGCACAATGCTGGGCAATAGTTACTCCATTCTAAACCTCCAAACCATTCAGATTTCCCACATCATACTTGCCTTTAGTCATATCTTAGGTCCGGTTCATCTTCCTCGTGGTTTGAAGTCCCTTCCTGCTGATTTCTGCTCTCCTCCTCCTCCCACTTGCTTCCTTCTCCTCCCCTCCAGACCAGGATGTCCCACCCTATTCTCTCCATTGCACAGCACTGGCTGGTTGTTTAATTGACAATTACAGAGAACAAATGGTGGCATGTTTACAAAACCTTGCGACAGGTGATGCTTAGAATAAGCATCACAGTGCAATGTCTGGATTGAAACCAAATAATGGGGTAGAGAAACAGCATTTGGCTGAACAAGGGTAAATGGTATACCTTCCAAAAGAACATTATAGCAACAGTTCTCTCTGCCTCCTGCCTGTGGATCAAGATGAGCTCTCAGCTACTGCTTCAGCTCCATGCCTACCTGCTGCTGCCATACTCCCTACCATGACGGTCATGGACTCACCCTCTGAAACTATAAGCACCTAATAAACGCATTTAAATTTCCTTGATTGTGGTGCTTTGTCACAGCAGTAGAAAAGACACACACCATACTTGAGGCAGCTAGCTGAGTGCCTCTCCGATCCAGTTTTAGCTCCTCCTTTATGTTAGTTCATGTTACATTGAGCATCTGCATAGAGCCAAACTCTACTTCTTTAAAAATAGACTATGGGGGGCTGGAGAGATGGCTCAGAGGTTAAGAGCACTGGCTGCTCTTCCAGAGGTCCTGAGTTCAATTCCCAGCAACCACATGGTGGCTCACAACCATCTACAATGAGATCTGGTGTCCCCTTGTGGCGTGCAGGTGTACATGCAGCCAGAACATTGTGTGTGTGTGTGTGTGTGTGTGTGTGTGTGTGTGTGTGTGTGTGTGTATAATTTTAAATTATGTATATATATTATTTAAATTATTTAATATTTTAAATTATATATATATGAGCCATCAAAATGGCTCATAGGGCAAAGTTGCTTTTCACCAAGCCTGATGACTTGTGACTCCACATTGCAGAGGCAAAGAAGTGACTCCTTCAGGTTGTCTTCCTGTCTCAGTACATGTGCTGCTGCACATATGTACACACACAATTTTAAAATTAAAAGCAAGGACACCAGTCAGACTAGATGACAAATCACCGAAATGGCCTCATTTTAACTTATCAACAATTCAAAGAGCCTATCTCCGAACAGCCGTATTCAGAAGCATAGGGTCAGTGGGCTGGAGACGTAGCTCATCAGGAAAGTGCTAGCCTCACATGCGCAAAACCCTGAGTTTGACGCCCAGGGCCACACCAAACTGTGGGTAGTAACCCATATCTGTAATCCCAGCATTTGGGAAGTAGAGATAGGAAGATCAGAAGTTCAAGATCATCCTTGGTTACATGTTCAATTTGAGGCTAACCAGAAATATACGGGACCCTGTCTCAAATACAAACAAAAAGTACTAGGGATTCAGTTCTTGAGCTGACTTCTTGGGGAGGAGCACGGTTGGACCTGTAACAGGGACCTTATCACTTCTGCTCACATCTCCACCATTCAGCACAGGGCTGGACTTGAGACACGACTCCTACACCATCTGTAAATCATCGCATCCCAAACCCTCACTTTGCTCTTCCCCACAGGCATGTATTGCAGTAGAGGCAAAGGAGATCACAAGGCGTGGAATGCAGCAGAAGGACCCTCAGTGGCCAGGGGAAGTATTTGCTGTCACAATCAAGCCATAGTTGCCTTTTCTTAGGACTTCCAGATGGAGCCAAACCAGCCACCTAGAGTTGGTTGGCTCCAATATCGTGGTTTGTCTGTTGCCCCTATGGGCTGCTGGGGAGGTCCTGCTGACAGCTGATGGCTCACCCAACTGGCTCTCTTTAGAAGATGAGTCACAGATGAGCTGGTGGGAGATGGATCCAGTCAGGTGTAGGAAAACAGTTTAGCAACAAGTACTCAAAGCTTAAAAAAAGCAAAAAGAAAAATAATCTTATAACCCCACATCCAGGAATTCAATCTGAGGACCTGGTAGAGGGGTGCTTAAAATAGGTTTATAATCCAGGTTTACATTAGTTTTTCCTTCTTTTAACCTTTCCAAGGTTAAAGTTAAAGTCAAAGTCTGTTTTTCTCTTTCTTTCTCTCTCTCTCTCTCTCTCCCTCTCTTTCTTTCTTTTTCTTCTTTCCTTCTTCCCAGATAAGGTCTCACTTTATATATAGTCCTGGCTGGTTTCCTTCCTTCCTACCTTCCTTCCTTCCTTCCTTCCTACCTTCCTTCCTTCCTTCCTTCCTTCCTTCCTTCCTTCCTTCCTTCCT